TCTTAAAGATAAACCGGAGCATGTAAGTGCAAGCAGGGCCACCTTGTAAACTGCACTAAGGTGTTTGTGCTGTTGATGGCTATGAAGCATTTTTGGCTAATCTAGTAGCTTGAAACAAATGCTTAACAGCTTAGAGATCGTGATGCATGGAATTTTTTATATGTTTATTCGCTTTCATCTTTTTCGGAGTGGGGGGATTAAGCTTGCACAGAAAATGACTATGCTGATCCTTCAGTTTACACTTGTTTTTGAAGTAGGTAAAATTGAAAAAAATATTCAAAATATTTATAATCTAGATTTTAATTAACTGTTCTTGCAGATGATATCTGCTGGTAGGGCCAGTTGTCTCCAGTTGTTGATATGGAAATGTAATTGAGTTCTTGACAGAATTCTGGCTATGAAATATGTAATTATAGTATTAGATTCGTACCCGTTGAAAACCAGTATAATTCTTGCCACATCTTGCCAGACAATGTATTGTTTTAAATGATAATCTACTTTTCACAAAGTAACTGATTGAAATTGTCATCTTCTCTTCCTGGGGCAAAACAGATACGGTATCCTAAAAACAAGCATTAGTATGTGGGGTTTTGTTTGTTTGTTTTGTTTTTCTCCTTCACAGCAAGAGGAAGATTTTTTTTTTTTGTACAAGATCTATTGCTTCTTTTCCTTCCTGCATGGTGGTAACTGATTAGACTTTTATTTTTTCACATTTTAAACAGTCCTAGTTGTATCTAGTTTTTCTTGTAGAGAAGGGCATCTAATTTGAAAAGAACAGATGCTGCTTGCTTGAAATTCTGCTTGGTGAAAACTATTAACACATATTTATCAGAATACTTTAACTGAAGTTACTGTACTTTTCCTCTGTAATTACATGGTGAAGTATACGTGTTTGAAAACAGGTGCAGGTAGATGCTTTCGGAAGATCTAGTTTTCCAGTTCTTATGTGCCTTTCTCAGGTCCTTATTTACCCAAATGTTCTTTTTGTGTGACGTACAACATAATGTAAGATAATTGTAAATAATTAGAACAGATTGACTGGGTGGACTTTAAGATAGATTACTGCAGTAAATGAATAAACGTACTAGCAAAAACGGCAGGACAGATTTTGGGGGTAATAAAGATCACAAAATATTTTTTTCAGAACTTTGGATGGAATGAAAGTATTCTGGTAGCTGTTACAGGAGTTCCATGAAAATTTAGTAACTGCCCTTGGCTTGGTGTCACAACTTCATAATTAAGTTACTGTTAGTAACCTTAAAATAGAGCCTGACCTAGCATTTAAATAAACTTTTAAGTTACAAAAACATCTGTCTTTGAAATTTAACTCTGGCTTTCACAATACTGAGCACCTACAGAAGTGCTAATAGCTTCCTGCTTTAAAAGTTTTTAAACACACTTAAGATGTTTACTATTCTGCAAAAATCTCTAATGTGTGCCACATGCTAATATAAATAAAATCATTATTAATAAACAGCAGAGGTAGTAATGAAAGTATAACTGTAGACTCAACTAATGTATTTTTCTAATATTATCACTTTCACTTAAAATGTACAATAATATGGAACAAACATAGCATGGACCAAAGAGCCAGATTTTTGCTGAAACCAACCCATGTGAGAGTTACAGAATGAGTAATAAATATTTATGATTGTGGTCTAACTTTGATCTTGGTAGTCAATTTGTAAAATAGAAAATTTTTGCCTTCCAATCCATTAGGTTTGTGTGCTAGCACTGAGTTTTGCTGCAGGGAAAACTAAACTAACACTAAAACAGTCTTTTGTTGCTATGCGGACTTTTTGTCTTTGTGTTCCAGGAGGTGTTTCACTTTTAATATTTTATTTCAGGTTGGTGTGAAAGTAGGTGTTCGTACAAGAGGATGCAATGGACTTTCTTACACATTAGAATATACAAAATCAAAAGGAGAGTCTGATGAAGAAGTAGTTCAAGATGGTGAGTTTCAGGTGGAGTAATGGGAAACAGTGCAGTAGGGGGAGGGAAGAGTGGCTCTAATTACAAGTTTGCCAAGGGACAAGTCAGATCAGGGATAAACCTTACTTTTTGCCCATGTTGGATTAAGTTGGAGTTCTCTAGGATAATAACAAATAGTCTCTGTTCTGTGTCAGAATAGATCAGGCCTATTATTCATATACTTGGAGCTGGCTGGAAGCAGATGCCTGGAGAGTAAAACAAGACATATCTAGAAAAGTATTAGCATACCTAAAATAATCTTTGTCAAGATAGACTTTTTGCACAGAATTTTCCAGTCAGTCTGCTCTAGTAACAAGTCTTATCCTTCATTAATTTAAGATTTAATCTCTTTTTGCTTTTGTGACAAAGAATTTTATAATTTTAATTAAGCAATATGTTGAAAATTTTCTATTATTCTAGCATTTAAACTTGCTGCTCGATAATTTGACCATCCCATGGTCAAATAAGTCTATTGTTCAAGAAATGAGTAATGCACCATAGATCTTCCTAATTTAATAGAAACTTCTACTGGGTGGTCTTTTTTGTGGAGCGTGATTTTTTACAGAGGCATAATAATGTTTGTATTGGTCTCAATTTAATGTCTGTTTCTGTTCTAAAAATTTCTAAAATTCTTTATGATTTTTTCTTTCTTACACCTTGTTGAACTTTGCTGTGTTTAGGTTCAGGAAAATTTTTAATCTAGTGGCAATGTCAGATCAGAGTAAGAGTGGGATATTTTGGTTCTTTCATGCAGAAGCTGTGCTCCATCTCTTAGTTGCTTTGGAAGTATCTATGACCAACTCATAAATTTTATTTTCTTACATTTTCTTCTTGAGTTTTCCTTTGCTTTCTTCTGCTGCTGGACTCCAGAGCTGCTCTGCTTTTTTTTTTTTTTTTGGGTGAGGGGAAGGCAGTGCATGGCTTGTGTTTTCAGAGAGATGAAAGCATTTTACCACTGTTAAAAAAGAGGTCTTGGACCAGATAGCCTGCCAGAGCCAGACAGTATTTCAGATATGCCTGTGTGCTTGCTACATTTTCATGGGTTCAAGATAGCTTTTGGCTGCAGACTAACTTCTGTATAAGTCTGTGCTCAGTGAGCTGGTAGTTTTGGATCTGAGCCCAACTTTCCTGGCTTTTACATAGTAGGTGCTGATGTCTAATACAGAACTGTGGTCCTTCTTCAAAGACCAGATCCATGAAATCTTTCATTTGATTTATCCTTCCATGTCTGTTATGGTCCAGGCCAAAAATATGGAGGTTCAACTTGGTTACCCAAGAAATTGAACTGTGTTAGCAACATATTCAGTCTTAATTTCTATGATGAAATAGTTTTCTAAACATATTTCCTTGAATGTAATTTTTGTTGCTCCTGCTGCTACTACTGATACTCTTTTTTTCATTATTATTTTTATTCTAGCCTGTGATCAGCTAAATTGGTCATTAATGGTAACCACTTCATACCAGATTCAAAGTTCAGTAGTTTTATAGTTCAATAATTTTCCAAGTGGTAAATACCTTGCATATTTTTTAGAAGAGATTTTTTTTCTAAAATAAATTACTAATTCTCACTCCTTAAAGGTAATTATATCTTTGAAAGTTCATACTTTTTTGGGATGTACAGATTTTAAAAACATTAGGAAATAGGTTAGAGATTAATGCGTGGGAAAGCAGGTATTAAAAGTGAGTTAATTCTCAAGTTCTAGCCCTTTTCTCCTAAGTATCAGTATTTTAAATCCATACACAAAAGGTGTATAGACAGACAAATGCTAGTGTTATACTATTCATAGAGTTCTATAGGAGGAGAAAAAAAAATTCCCACCTTAGGCTGGTGAAATCAAGTGGACTTTTGATGGACTTTGTTTCTGGATTTCATTTTAATCATTGATTGAATACCAGTTTCAAAGTAAATGAACACTATATGGCTGTATATAATTTTCTTGCTGTTGTTTTCAAGGGGTTAGAGTGTTTATTGAGAAGAAAGCACAGCTGACACTTCTAGGAACAGAAATGGACTATGTAGAAGACAAACTGTCCAGTGAATTTGTCTTCAATAATCCAAACATCAAAGGAACATGTGGCTGTGGAGAAAGCTTTAACATATGAAATCTCAGGACTGTTACTTTGAATACCACAAAACACTTACTAAGTGTATGGCTTTCAAAAGCAGATGTGTTTTCTTCAGGTTCTTAGGCTGTGTAAAGGGTGGATGCCTTTAAGGAAAATAAAGTTAATTCATTTTGAAAAAGTAAATTGTGTGTTAAATTCCACCACTGATATATTTATGCTGTAATTTGTGATGAATTGGGATCCAGAAGGTGAGAGCAGTGCTGTAGCATTTCTGTATTTTCATATACAAAGGAAATAAAAGTCTCGCTGTTCTTTTCCTTTGTCATTTTCTTTGTCAACTTCCCTCTACTTCCCAATCCAAAACATATTTGCAAGAATATATTGCCTACATATTCTGCTTTGATTTGAAAAGAAATACTGTTCATATGTTTGTGTCTTTGTGGATACTTCGATGCACAGACGTACATGCCTCAGCTTCAGATTCACTATGCTTATTTAGATGGGTATTCTGTTTTATTAGGTGTCAGACGTATTTGTATTTCTCTGGATAGGTTTTCAGGTTGTTTTTTTTCCCATAAATCTAGGAGAGTCCAGAAAAGAAGTTCAAGTGTTATTTCAGCAGTGGTTCAAATGTGCTAACCCAGCCCTATATCTTGCCATCTGAAGGCACAGTCTCTGATGTAGTTCAAAAATGTTTTTTGAAAACAAAAAATTAAAATGTATTCAAGTATATCAGTGTTGAAGCAGAATACACACAGGCCTTTATCTCATGTTTCTATTGTTTTTCTTCATCTTGCTTGACTTAAATTGCCAAACTGATAAAGCTGCTTGCAGACTCAGGTTCCCACCGTTCACAGAATGTGCATGTTCTATGCTGTCTGAACCAGAAACTATTTTTGAGAGAAAGTAGTTTTCATTAGCTTTTTGTGTTGCATGTTCCTAGTTTGGTTAAAACTGGAACTTCGTTTAGTAACACTTTAGGAACTAGAGGTTTTCACTTAAAAACTTGTGGAAATTTTATTTGACTTCTTGGTAACAGGAAAACCATTTATAATTTTAAAGGACTTCTATTTAAAACTGGTTTAAAATGAAGCCTATCAGTAATTAAAATATTAACAGGAGGCCTTTTTTCTTTGGAATTAAACTTGCTTGCTTGCTTCTAATAGGAATTCACCTTTTCCAAAGCAGTGTGGTTTTTGTTGTTTTGTTTGTTTGTTTTTCTTGTTTATTTTTCAAGCCAATAACAGCCTTGAGCACTTATTCCACTGGTGCTCAGGCAGAAAAGTAAACTTCTTCCCTGGACTCCTCAAAAGCTGGTGTGATAGAAACAGCTTTCTATCCTTTTATCCTCCTGTTTCCCTGATTGCCCAAAGATGAGATGCATCTAGGCTAAAAGTAGGCAACAAGGATGAGGATATTACAGTCACAGACTTAAGATGAGTGAAGAGATTATTTAAAGGCAGAAGGCTGAAAATCCAGGCGTTGTGTCAGTTTGGGAAATTGCTCATGGGCATGTATTATTCCAAAGCTGTGAAATATAAAGTGCTGAACATGAAAAGATGCAGCTAGGTGGGCCTGGCTTGGGGTAAAAGTGTAGAGGGAAGACTGAAAAATAAAAAAAATAAAAAAATAAAAAGATCTTGATTTATCTTATGTAGTGCACAGGAATAGAAGGATTGAATTTTCACAGGTACAGCTTAGTACTAAGTACTTGAATTTAATTGTGTATCACCTTTTGATGTAAAAACAGTGATGTGCTTTTATTAGTCAACTGATGTTGTTTTGATGTTATTTTATATAGTCATTCAGGAAGAACTGGTAATACAGGAGTAGGTCAATTTATGCAAGTCCTTCACTCTTGCCAAAAAATATAGGGGATGTGGTAGTTGACCTCATATGTCTAAAACTCCAAATTGAGGGCATTTTTTTTAGCTTGCATGTCTCTGCTTCTTATTGGAAGATAAAGACCATAAATGTAGCACTGGTGGTTTTCAAGAGTGCTGTTTTATTCATTTAATTTTGCTGTTTTAGGCCTTCGGCATATTTAGCATTCCTTTTCATGTGTGTTGTGTGTATGCCTTCAATGAAAGTTTGTACTTTCACGCTACATGAAATAATCTCCTAAAAAATGTCAGTTTACTAAAACACTAAGCGCACAATGTGTTAGAGCAAACTTCTGTGGAAGTGCTAGCAGCAATTATATAGTAACTTTATTTTGTTGATTGGTCCATTACAATTTTGTGCAATACTGTATGTAGAGTGATTATATTAATAAATACTGCTTGTTGATAAACATGAAATACTCTTAAAATGAATCTGTTCACAGTGACAAGTGCGCCTGCGTGGTGGGAGGAAGCATGAGGGAGATCAGACTTCTACTGGGGAATCGCAGAGAACAACACTGCATTTGTGAAATATTAAAAATTTCCAAATATTAGTAGTACTGGATTAGTTTTGGAATATATTGTGCAGATTTGTCATGGTTAACTTAGCAATGCTTCAAACTAACATGTGCGGGAAAGCATTTTCACATCTTGCTTGGAAAGGTCATTGGTGAATTTTTAAAGATACCAAGCCTTCTCCACGTGCTGTTCTTAAGGTAGAATTCTGTTAGGCAGAGGCTTATTTCAAAAATCTCCATATGCCAAAAAATAATTTTGGTACTTTTCACCGAAGGGAAAATAAACATGATCAAAGTAATTGTCAGTGTATATAAAATGTTTGTGTACACACACACACATACATACACACACGTATCTTCTGCTACTGCATTTCTACTTAAGAAAAATATCTGCTGAATTTAAGCAAGGTCTTCACCCTCATCTTTTCTAGTCCCCTTTGGGGGCTATTTAAGAGCACATACATGCTTTAAGCAGCAGGTGTTTTTCCCGAGCCAAACTGGAACCCAGGAATCCTAAACCACACTTAAGTGCGCTGTACCAACACTTCTTTTCACAGGCTCTAATTCATGAAGGAAAACACCTCTTGACACAGGGTGGCAGCAGGTTTCCAGTCTATCCATTGCAGAGCAAGAATCGCTTCCCTGCTGCTTCGTGCTCTGTTTCCTATTGTCTTTCACGTATATTGGAGTACTTGCGCTATGAGTAATCATAATGTTGTGAAGCTGTGCTGTTTGACCTTTTATGTATTTCTTCCTGTGCTTCTTCTCTGGTCTTGGAGAGATGGATGTGGAAGTGCAGAAAGCCAAATGACTTCAGCCCTCCCTCCTGATGCTAATACCCAAGTGCTAGGGCATGGCTCTGCTGACCAAGTGGTGTTAAGGACAATGTCCTTTACTATTACTGTTTGGGGCAGGGGGGAGCATTTCCTTTACTTGCTAGTACTGTGTACTATGAAACTGTCTGGTGTCTGTTCTCAGCAGAAGTACCCTCCTCTGCTATACCTTGTGTCGATTTTTTTTTTCTGATTATATAATGATACCTGCACAATGCTAATTTCCTTCTATAGGTTGCTGAAACTAGGTCTAGATAGCAGAAATAATTCTACCTGTTCTTCACTGTTTCTACCTGAAACAGTGATCCAGGTTCAAAATAAATAAAAATTAATTACATAGAGGATACCCAGACAGCCACTTCCTCTTCCAGACATTTTTTCATAGTTCATTCATATGTAATCACAGATTCTTTCTGATTCAACACTAAGTAATTCTATAAAGTGTGGCAAAACTATGTTTAAAGTGGCTTACTTTGCTGTTAATTATATTCTTTCCCACATGGTACTTCTTTCGCGTAAGAGGCTTAAATGCTTAAAACAAGCATTTGAATGAGGGGGGAGGGAGGTGTAATGGACACAGTGTGGCCAGATGCTCTGAAGAGGCAGGTCCTGCCTGGAGGTAGCTGTCCCCGTTTTCAAGAGGGCTGCGCGCTGCGGTCCTGCTCACCGCAGCTGTCTGGGTACAGCGCCAAGGCTAAAAGAAGCCTTGGTGACTTTTCAGTGAATTTACTGTCATAAACTTCACAAAATTCAATACTTGGGTGTAAACTGTAATAAAAAGCTGCTGCTTGGAAACGACTGTGCACAGATGCGTTGTGCCCTGACTTGTTCCAAGAGAGGTGCCTGTCATCTCACATTGAAAGCCAGGTAACTGCAGCAGTGTGATAAATAGCTATATAGTGTGTGGGGGGGGTTCTTAAATTGCCTCATCAAGACGAGCTGGAGTGCATCTACCTGTGTCCTGGGGAGTATGAGATACCTGATGCTGGGGCACTGTGAGCTGCCTCCTAATATATAGAAAAACATATAAAATAAAGAACTTCTGACTTCTACAAATAATTTAGAAAGTCAAAGTTTTATTTTATTTTATTTTATTTTTTACCCTTTAAATGCAAAGACTGTTAAATGTTTAACAAGGACCTGTCCTTCCTCATGTCATGGGCATGGCTAGAGGCCAGCTCTGAAGTCATATGAAAACACCCAGAGTGACGGCTGCCTAGGGCAGGTTTTGAACCTTCCGAAGAAAATTACACATGGTGGATCTGCACGTGTTGCCCTGCACGCTGCTGCACTTTGCGCTGCCAGGGCATTTGTTAAGCTAATTACGGCAGGCCTGCATGTAATTAGGCCCATATGTTGTAATGAGGAATTGCCCTTCTGAAAAGGCAATGCCAGAAATGAATTTCTGTGAATTAGAAAAGCACGTCTGGGAGACGGTGCTCGCTCTGCTGGGAACCTGCTAGCTGTTTAAAGGAAGTTATTATGACCCTCTTTTATAAGGAAAATTTCCTCTTGGGCTGGAGATGGGAGTGAAATTATACAGAATATCAGGATTTTTTTAATAGCCCGATAGTGGAAGCCAGGTGTCAGCACTAGGTGTTGCTCGCGGCCCGGTTGGCGGCAGCCCGCCCTCCCGGCGGGTCACGGGCAGCAACGCCCGCCCCACAC